GTTCAAATATTTTCTCTCGCTCTAGATGAATATTTTCAAAAAGAAATTCAAGTAGTTTTGCTCGTTTGATTTGCAGTTGGTGGCTGGAGCGCGCGCGTGGATGAATTTTCCTCGCGCGCTTTTGAGCTCTCTATCTCTCTCTTCTCGCGATACCCTTTGGCTTGGGCGCGCGTTTGACGCGCCGGAGACCTTTTTCAAAGGTATATTCCTCGCGGCAATGCGATACTCTCCAAAAGACTTTGGAAGAGGGAAAAAAGCTTCTTTTTATCCATCCGCGTATCCAGTCGAACGTTATACTTTTCCCGCCTCACAGCGCTTGCAGTACGTTATGGAAATCTAGGGTGCACGTACGAGTCTGTGCCCGGTTCGCTCACTCGTATACGTGTGTATGCAAGCTTACACAATCGTTTTCAGTGATCAGGATTTTCGACGTTTTCGAATGTAAGCGCACGAATAATCGAAGTTTGCGTGTGCAAGAACTCAAAGGCCGCTGCACAGAAAAACCATTGCACACACACATAATATCGAATCACGGAAACGGGAACGAAGCTCAGGACTGAAGAAAAAATATTCGCTCGAGCTTTTGACGTATATCAGTTTCAATTGTAATATCGCATTCGGCTATGCATCTATGCGATATGCCAACTCGATCGGATTAATTAACGAGCTCGTTCTCGCTCGACGTGGTGATGTTTCAATAATGCATTAGGCAGACTGCACACTCGCTAGAGAGCAAAATGTTGCAAACTTGTTGCATAATTACTCAGTGATCGGTAAAAATTCGTGCGATATTAGTCGCGATCTGCGCCGCTGCCGCTGCTACTACTGCTGCAGCTGGATGCACAAAAGAAAAAGTACACCCGAGAGCGCGAGAAATGCGTAATCCGGGCGGCTCCTGCACGTCGGAGTTTGTTGCGCAGTTTGCAAACTACCATAGTTTGCATATCTTTTAGCTATTCTATAGAGTGTTATTGTATCGTATAAAAGTACAAGGGAAGTACAAAAGAGCTCGAGAGAAGATATCGAATAATGAAGTAAGCCAAGTTTTAATACTCAGGATACGTCGGGGGGGTTGAGGTAATTTAAGTACAGTTAGATCAATGGAATCGCAATGGAGAGTAGGAATAGTTTGCGTTATTACGTTGAAAAGTATAATAGATCACGGAAAGTCGAAAAACGCGCTGATTTCGTGATTTCATTTGCTTCTTGATAATGAAAATTACTCGTGCTTTCAGCAAACGACAAAGTAACTCCTCTCGAAATTTCTTATTACAAAATGGCAAGTCGAACAAGTAAATTATACGCAAGTCCTTTTATCAATCACCGAAATTCTCGTTCTTAACTCCGGCATTGTACGGTAGCTCTTTTGCAACCCCGCAGTCGAGTTGTTCTTTTTCATTTTGCAAATTTCTTCAAGTTGAATCCTCCATGTCGGTTCTACTCGGTGAGTATTATATTCAGCTTTGGTCGGTCGCGCGCGCGCGGCACTGCTACTGCGAGGAGAAGGCGCATTCGCATCCTTGTAATTGCTATCCGCAAATCTGTCCCATTTGTCTATGTCACATTTAGTCATACATTATTAGCCCCTTCTAGCACCAGTGACTAGAGCAGCGCACCGGGTCGAGCAGCGTCGCTTTTAGCCTCGCTCTCTCTCTCTCTCTCTTGCTCTCCTTCTCTCGCGTACGTTGAGGGCAAAACAGGTCTAGAAAATGATAGATGCCACAAACTCGCGAGCGCAATTAAACTGCTTGGCATTGGAGAGTTTGACGCAAGCTTGGGTTTTGCGGCCTCCTCTATATATAGCAGTCGCCGACGTAGCTTTTCGTCCTTAGCCTCTTGCAGGCAGGCGGGCAGGCAGGCGCGCGACGGCACAAAACTTACAAAAGCCATTTTTCTTTTCTTCCTCGGCCCAGTTTCTATCTTTCGTCTCGCGACTCTGGCTGTTTATTTCTTTTTCTCATTCTTTTTTTGGTATTATTTTTCATCCTCACATTCTATTCTTCATTCTTATAGATAATGCACTGTCTCGGTAAAGCGTTGAATTTGTGTAAATGTGTGTATTATTCGTTTCGAATGTGTATGTGTGTGCGGTAGGAAAATGCCAAGCACGCGTCACTTGTCACTTCGGTATAAGCGCGAGGAAGCTAGAGGAGGTGGTACAACTCGATCCACCTTAGATGTGTTTTTCCCTTGGTATTTTTCATCTCTGTTTTAATACCTGTATTTAGGATACACCACGACTGTACAATAGCGACAAGCGAGCGAAACTGCGCCCGATATTATATGCTACATTGTTGCTGCGTGAACGCGTACGTATATCTCTATACCAACGGACTTCCGCGGTGTACTCTCTCAACTGGGTCGAGTGTGTCGCGGGCGAGCTGGTATAAGTGCGGTACGCGCGCTGTCTTGCGATACACACGAACCGCTTGCGTATTCTCTCGCGCGCTCCACGACACTTTTTCCCATTTTTCCGCGCTCTCGAGAAATAGTAGCTGCACGGGTTTTTTCATAATTTCGCACGCGCGCGAATTTCTAACGAGTCGCTCATTTTTTTCATTTTTTTTGGCACAACTGCGTACAGTTGGAGCCGGGAAGGATTTCCGCGACGATTGCTCTACGACGGCAGCAGCAGCAGCAGCCCAGGAGGAGAATTTATCAAATATAACGAGCAAATATATGAGCGAGCAGAGCTCGAGAACGAAACGAAGCTTTAATTTCGCGAATTCCGCAAGTTAATGTGCACGACAACTTTTAGCCATTAAGGATTTGTCGATATCTTCGGGAATGGGGAGGGCTAGAGGTAATACGAAGTTTTGCAAGAATTACCGAGTCGATAACTTATAACTTTTCCGAAGGTCATCTCATTTGCACTTATTCACAAGTCGAGCCGAATCGTATACACATAGTTATAGTCTCCGCGCGTCACTGCTGCTGTACTTGCACGCTATATATCAAGCTCTCGGACTAATCGATCGAAACGAGAGGAAATATATAGGAAAGCTCGAATGTGCCTATGGACCTCTGGTCCCTTTGAGGAATATATATCGGTGCTCTTTAGCTGCGGTACTTGAATACGCATAATGAGAGTTAGGGGGTCAGAGAGCGAGAGAATGAACGAGCCATTTGTCTATATACAAGCGCATACGTGCGCATAGACGTGAGCTGGGATGCAAATGACTCGATTTGTCATTTCTGACGTGCGGCTAAATTCGAGTGGTCACACACGCTTCTCTCTATACGTTTTACTCGTGTGCGCCGCACGCAACACTTCTAGGGTATATATCTATCGATGTCTTCGTCTCTATCCTCTTGACGTAATCGAACTCGCATACACATGCACGTACAAGTTCCTCGGTATACATATCGCATCCTTCTAAAGGTAGCCCAGCAATTCTATAATGAGTTAATTTACGACCTTAGATCGATCGAGTCCTGGCCGCACGGTGGGCACGCTTGTTTTCACAGACAATCCCGTATGCGCCGTGCGCAAGCTGCAAGCTGCAAGCTGTGGCGGTAGCTGCTGCTACCGTCGTACTTAGTACTTTACATTGTTAGAGCTACATAAGGAATTTCAGTTATGCATTCTCTGGATCAGTAAAGAGGCTTCCTTGGGAGTAATGGCTGCTGCCGCTACTGCTCGGCTATAAGGAATCCGATATATCGATCAACTTATGGGCGGCACCCGTGTATACTGACTTATCGGACCTTCATAGCCGCGTTTTGATACAGCGAGAAAGCTCGATCGCAACTCGCGCGCCCGAGCTTATAATCTTTATCGTCTCAAGGCATATTGGCACTGACGAGGAACGACGACGACGTCGAGACTAAAAAATCCTATGAGAGAGCGATCAGAGGGAAGAACTTTAACAACCGATTAGATCACAAGTCAAATTTCTCGGTTCGATTATAACAGCTAATTATGTACTTAATTAAATTTCAAAACGACTGAACTTTTGCGCGGATTGCCTTGGCATCAAAATCTATAATTGGAATTCCATCACCTTTTCAAACTAAAGTGATGAGTTTTATCAATTTACTATCGAGTCACTCAAATATATTTATTACTTAAAAAATGTTATCATACTATCATTTTTCTCCTTTGAAGCGAGCAATCATGGAAAAATATACGATTCCGGTTTTTAAGAGACGTATGTAAAGTATTTTGATTAACTGCGTATAAGTACCGTGAGCTTTTTCATATTTAAATTAAAAAATTGCGAAAAAATGGAATACGCGCAAAAATTGCGTTGAAAAATATTCAATTATTTCATGCATTTGCAAATATTAAAAAAAAAATCAATTTCTCTAGAATAAACGCAGGTACTTGAACCCGTTCACTCTCACAGATTAAATTATAAAGACCCACACACGCAGAAGCTCTTTTCACACTGCACAACAACTCGTCACTTGCATCTGAGCTAGATGACGGCGGAAAAAAGGAAAAACAATTAATTAACCCATTGTCTTCCATCTTCATCGCGTCTCTATTGTTTCACAAATGGCACTTATCATTAAAAATCCCAGACAAATTGCCTTGGATCCAATTAAATTCATTTAAAGAAACTCTATTATTTACCAAGTTGCATAGTGAATTGGACAAATAATCGGGCCCCCTAAACTTGCCCAACGGTTAATCAAAAGCGTAAATGCCTGGAAACAAAATAAGAAAGTATCTTTTTACCGGGACGTTTTATCAGTGAATTCCCTGCATAATACGCTAAAAGTTTTCCGGAAAATTCATACGAGAGATCCCCAAGGGTGGATAAAAGTTCACAAAAAGTTTAGTTTCCATTGAAACTTGATATTTTTTATATACATTACGTGCAGAGCAACAGAGTGGAAAAACGTATGCTAGAAGATGAAAAAGTTGCGCACAGAATTATAGATAAAAAGTAAATTTAGTCAATCGTTATAGGGATATATGGGCTTGAAAAAGGATTTAAAACACTGTGCAGCATATACGAAGTCGAATGAAATTTGCTCTTGTCTGACCACAGGTGATATCGGAATACTGCAGAACACGCCTGCAGTCGAGGCCATTCACGCATACCGTGACGGACATGTATCGCGAGGTAGTGCGTTCGGCCAGTTATTCGGCGCGGAAACGAGCGGCAGTGGCCAGAGCCACCCGACAGCAGCATCAGCTACAGCAGCAGCAGCAACAGGCGCAACCGCATCCCTTGAGTGCCAATGCGGTGCCAGCACGTCAGAATCCACCGGGTAGGCATCATCATCATCATCATCATCACGGCGCCAAAGCCAACGGCAACGCTTTGTTTAAAGCTCAGTCGCGCAATTCACGCTCGCAACCGAACCTACTGAATCTAGGCCCGGAGGGACGATGCTCGGCTTACGGTTACGTGATCGATGCCCGAAATCTACATTTGCGCACCAACTCGCAGCCCGAATACTGCCAGCTGAACCGAGGTAAGTTTCAGATGCACGATATAATATATGCATTATACAATTCATTAATCAATCGATGTATGCATGTGATTTGCAATAGCGAGTATCGGAGCGACAGTACCGCATCACGTAAGAAGCACCAGCAATATAGCGGCTATGACGGCTTCGTCTGCATCGTCTGTGTCTGGCTCGGTGGCGAGCAACAACAGAGGACCGAATGTCAGCGGCGGCGGTGACGTCCGGAATGCGAATAATGCGTGCTCGAGCAGCGGCTACGGTTTCGACCCGGTTTACGCGATGCCGGTCAAGCCGTTTCTCAGCACGCAAGACGTACGCAACGCTAATACCAACAACAACAACGGCAACGCGGCTCGACTATTTCAACGTGCCGAGCAGCAGCAGCAGCAGTTTGGCATTACGACGGCTGAACAGCAGCAGCATCAGCAGCATCAGCTGCAACGACCGCAGACCATCGGCAATGCTACTCGCTCTGGCATCTCGCAGTTGAACATCAACGAATCTACCTCTGCTGCTGCTGCAACTGCTGCTGCTCAAACACGTGAAACAGAGGTAAAAAAAATTTTCCGACCTGCCTTCTTTATATTTACGGTTCGTTTAACTACGCGCACGCGAAAGAAAAGGGTGAACGAACAACGAAAAATGAAGAGAGAGAATAAAAAAAGAACTGCTTTGTTTCGTAAGAATATTTATGAACTCGCAAAACTTTGGATCGAGTGCAGCAGTGAGGGTCGCAACCAGTTACTGTATTTCCATTCATACTTATTCATGTTTACTGTGCCATGCACAAGACGCTCGCGTATCGATTATTGAATTTTCATTGTTACTCAGAAAGTTATTATTATATGCACGAATCGTACGGTCGTCGCGCGTATATATTTTTACATTTCAACTTTAATAGAAGCGATAGATATTTTAAGAAAATCCATATAAACAGTAGTAGTCCTCGCGTGTAAACAATTTTTTTCCTCTCTATCAACTTGTGTCGTAACCCGAGGGAAAAACGTGCGCCATTCGCTGCATTGTGTGCGCTCATATACATTACGCGCGGCGTGGCATGTAACGAACACGTCTCTTTAATTAAAAGGAAAAAAAAACTCGATGAAAAAAGTATTTGACGGTGATTATGAAAAAGAAGAAGTATATATTGGCGTCCTTAATTTATTTCGTGCAGCGAGCTCGTACAGCCAAGACTACGTATACTTTTTCACTTATCGCACTTTTCGCGTCTCTAATCTCGTCGAGCTTCCAGATCTTCTCGAACTTCCCAGGAGCTAATTATCGAAATTCCGGTGTGCGTGTGCCCCGTGCAGTAGTAGTTCGCGCAGCTCACGAAATTTCTTCTCGCGAATAATAGAGCGCTCGGCGCGTGGAGCAGAACTACCGAAGCTTGACAAAGATTCTCACGAAATATTTACCGCTTTCTCTTCGATATACATAGATATATATTCGAAGAGCCAATCTCGCGTGTAAGTGGCATTATTAGAAGCACAATTAGACTAACTGTGCATTATTCCACGTTACTTCTAACCCAGGACCTGTACGCAACGCCGTCGAAGCCCAACAGCAACCTATTGCAGCGTCAACATTCCAGTCCGCAGTTTCCTTTGATCTCGCGCCAAGATCGCGAGGGAAAAAAAGTTTGGGAATTCGACAAACCGACGTCGAACGAATTAGCCGGCAAGTCGGCATCGTTGTCAGCGTCGCAAAACGGAAATAACAGCAGGACTACTGCAGCGAGCCAGCGACAATATCAACAAACGCAGCCAACCTCAGTGGCGGCGGACGAAGAACAAAGCCCGGAGCGGCAAAAACAAATTGAGAGCAAAGCCAGCAGCCCCTACAGTACACCGCGAGGGCCGCCACCTCCCAAGCCCCCGCGAATAATTACCAGCTTGAAAAAGGCTCAAGCAGCCCACGCCAGTGCAGCTGCTTCTGCTGCTACTGCTGCTGCTACGGCTGCTGTCAACGCCATCGGCGCTCAGGATGTCGCGGTAGCCAAGCAGCAAAAACCACCAAGGTAACTAATGAACTTCAAAGCGCCTTTGCTCTTTTATTAGTTAGCTTAATTGAAATGAATTTTTGCTTCAAATCTGATTGTACCTAGACCAAGCGAATAACGAATTCAATCATTCAACAACTCTGTAAGGCTTCTGTACTACACTCTGGCATTGCCTTTGCCCTTTTTTTCTATTATGAATGCTATGAATTTTCTAGTACATCGGTTCGACTATTCCCGGCATTTATCATTCACATTCCGCAGAAATATGCTTGAATATGTATAAAGGAGCAAAAAAAAAAAGAATAATACAAGTGAATTTCGATTTTTTTTTCTTTTGGAGCAAATTCAAAAGGAATACTGTGTTTGTCAATAGCAGTCACGCGCGTACACTTATTTATTCACAAGTCGACGTTGTGCTAGCGTGAAAATACAAAATAATTAAATGATACCTATAGATGTAAACGTATGTGCATTTATATAGAGACCTAGTTTGAAACATGAAACATGAAAAAATGAGTAAAAAGTAAATGACATCTGAAAGACGCGTTTTTGTCTGTTATTCAAAAGAGAAAGAGGCGCCTCTTAAGGCTTAATTAAACCACATCCGGTAGTTCGTTAACGCCTTGGTTTTTTATTTCGTGCGTGATGCTGCGGATGCATATATTTTTCCCCAGCTTTTCAACGCCATATCTGCAAATATTTTCTGTGAGAATGCTATATGAATAAAACCGATTTTTTTTCTCCAACGTGTATTCCAAATAAACGTTGACATTTTTTTTTAAATCATGATATTGTTTTTCGACCAGCTGTTTCTGGACACGGAAAATAAATAAAATATCGATATGCATGTTGAGGCCGTTAGATTTTAATTCATTTTTTACTCCATGTAGGGATTTCAAAAATGGACCACGAGCACTTAAAAGCAAAGCCGTTCAGAGAGCCCCATCCCGACTTTATAGAACGGTTAATGGACCAGCGGCGTCATTTAATAAAACGCATTGCGTCGGTCCTGAGTTTGTTGTACGAGCAAATCAACCAGCCAAATTACTAACCGTGGGAGATTTTAAGGTGAGTGAGCCTAGCAGGAAATTCCGTAAATTTTCAATTCATCGAAAAAATTCATTTTCAACGACAAAATGCTGTGCACATTTTAACAAAGTAATCCTTAAAAGTGCAGGGCATAGTTTATCCGGGATTCCGTGGATTAAAAATTTTCCAATATTATCTAATTAAATCGAATTCCTTGGCATTATTTGCAGATTAATAATATGGGCCGATTGACGGTTATTCTTCTAACTGGGCAACGCATCGAGGTGACATGCGATCCTCAAAAAGTCACGGCTGGTGAATTATTTCAGGTAAGGGTTTTTTTTACATTACAATAAAAGTTCATTTTTGCCTTGATTATATAAAAATTGATAGAAAAAAAAAGATCGAATGCTTATTTAAATCAAACTAATTAACTCGCGATCGAGTGCCTGCAATCGATAGAACGAACGAAGTGCATCGAAAACTTTCAGAATCGTTCATGCTTGTAATTATTCCTTCTGTAAATTTCTAGAGTATGGCACAAATAGATAAGCACTTGGCTTTTCTATGCATAATTATACTTTCCTCATTAAAATGTGTAATACATCAGATTTATTAGAATACAAAATATATTATTACCAGGTCTTGGTGCAATCAGAAGGTCTAGAAGAAAACTTCACTCTTGGTCTTGCGGCTTTACTCGCGGGGGATTTCGCAATGCTGCCATCGGAAACGAAATTAAATAAGGTCGCGCCACCGGGTTGGGCGAGTAGCGGTAAAAATAAAATATCACTGGGTCTTCCAACTACGTTCATGTTATACTTGAGACTGCGCTTCTTCTTACCTTCGCTTCGAGGAATCAGGTAAATGGCCAGATGCAAAATCAAATATTTATTAGTACATTGCGACGACACCGCGTGGTGACAGCGACCAAAAATATGTTTAAACATTCGTTTTTCAGGAGTTGGATTTCCAAGCACATGCTTTATTTGCAAATCAGACGTTGCATATTAGAGCAGCAGTTTGTGTGCCCTCTGGCTCAGTTGATAAATTTAGCTGGTCTAGCTCTGCAAGCGGAATTCGGAGACTACAGTGTTAACGTAAGTTAAATATTTTACTTGCACTCTTACTCAAATTTCTATTCTACCGCAGTGCTATTAAAATGTATTTTCTATTTAATTCATTAACAATTTATTTGCCTGAATTGTTACGATTAATGTATGTAACGCGGTAGCAAAATAATCTAGAATTAAAACTTTCGATTTAAATTTTTCATTAACTTATACAATACCTGAGTTGAAAAACAAAAAGGTTCAAAATTACTTGGAAAAGCATACTCAAATATATTTTATAACATTTTTGGGATTCTCAAATTGAGTGTTGTAAATTAATTTTGTTGAAAAACTGGCGGCGGTATTTCAATCATTGTTCATAAAGTAGATAAATCTATACAAATATTATAACTTACATTTCTATTTTCAGGAGCACGGCTGTAGCGATTACTTCCTTTTGGAACATTACGTCCCAGAATCGCTGATACTGAACTCGGAAGAGCAAAAATATCGGCACCCCCAGTTACCCGATAGCGGCGAGGCGCTACGAAAACGACTGCAGCAAGCACATTTCGAGCGTCGCGGTCTCGATCCGAGCAAAGCCGAGGAGATGTTCATTTCACACGCGCAATGTTTGCCTGACTACGGGGCTCACTATTACACCGCGACCGTTGACGCGAAGGAATTCAATAAAATTATCGCCAAGCAGAAGAAGTGCGCCGAGACGAACAGCCAGCAAAAGGTAATTCTCGACGACGGCCACGACGTAAAACGAAAGCGCTAAACGGGCTTACTTTACGTTTCGATTTGATTTCAGAGCGACGATCAACCACTGCAGCAAATAGCCGAGAACGAAAATATCTACGAGCTCGACAAGAACTCGGACTATCAGATTTATGGAAAAATCGAATTCAGCAATACCGGAGCTCGCGAGCAATACTTTCAGCGCAGTTCTTACACGGACGAGCAAAAAATCATGTTATCTCGAAGTCCGTCGAGCGTGATGGACGACATTTACGCGGCGAAGAAAGCAAACGAAAGCGAAAATGACAAATCGTCGAATAACAATAAAAACAAAGCCAAAACCGCTAAGCCGAAAAAAGGCGACAGTGATGTGTGGCTTGCCGTGCACTCGCAAGGCTTAAAAGTTTTTGAGCGCGGAGCCCGGCTGCGAGAAAGAGTAGAAATGTCTAGATTCGACTGGAAGGATATCCAGACGCTGAGTTATGGCAAAAATTATTTGATCGTTCATACGAAAATAGGTGGCAAACGTTTCAAGTTTAAGTTAAAAATGGATCATCGAAAGTAAGTTTACAACTTATATAAGTGTTTGGTGGCGTTCGCTTTTTATGCCATTAAAACGTTTGATTCGATTAACGTTGATTATTTTTTGTTCAGGAGCTTCTATGCTTTCAAACTAACTTCTTTGCACCATCAATTTTTCTTGAAGCTGCGCTCGGAGTTAACTTCTTTACAAGGATTAGTAAAAGGTTTGTAATTTAAGTCATCAGTCGTGTAATTGAATTGAGATACATCGTTGCTTTTACTTATTTTTAGATTTCGGAGTGCCTTTAATCGTTGAACCAAATTCCCCGAAGCCAAAGATGAGACCGGAGAGTGCAAAAACAAAAATTACCTTCGCCGACGCGGAAAAACAACACAAGTTGGAAAAACCTCGACTCGAGGAGCAGCAAAACAAAGAAAACGAGAATCCATTTAAAGAATCCGACGATATCAAGCTCTCCAATGGAAACCACATCGATACGTTCGACGATGCCGAGAGTAACATTAACGGCAACGGAGGCCAAGTCAACAAACGCCTCGAACCCGAAGGCGAGGCTCGCGATACCGAAGACGAAAACGACCACACTTTGACGGTAAACAGAAACATACTCTCGACGAACGTTTCCAACGGACTGAAAGTGCTCGAGCACCACGAGATCGATAGGATATATAACTACATCGAGGATCGAATGACGAATGGCCAGGAAAAAGAAGATTTCATTTACTCGATGCCGAAGAAGTCTTCTTTTTCTCAATCCAAGACTCAAAAGTCCGATGAAAAAATTGAAAACCCTGAGGCTCTGTACGCTGCGATCAACAAATCGGGACTGCCGAAAAAAATTGAATACACAGTACCTGAAAACGAGGCCTGGAAAGTCGTCGAGGTTCAAAGGCTTCCTCACATGGTAAAGATTTTCCTTGTTTTTCAATATAGCACTGCATAAGTATTTTAAACTCATTGTGCTCTATTAACCAACAGAGTTCAAATGGCAATTATAACTACAATCAGAGTAGAAATCGTAATTTATCGAAGATGCCACAGCGCTTGGAAGTTGTGAAAGTGGAAAATAGATCGATGTATTCTACTTCGATGGATAAACGCCGTTTGAATCTTAATGACGATCTGGAGCTCAGGTCTTTGCAATCCGACTCAGCGTCAGCCAAATCGACGGAATCTCCTTTACCCGAAGCCTACGTATTAAGTAAGAAAATCACTTGGAAACATTTATTTGCTTACTCTAATACCTCACAGACACACCCATCGATTGCTTATTTGCTTGCACGCACGCTAATGCTAATTAACAAAAATATAAAAACCATTGCAGCACCGCCTCTCCGCTCATTGATAACAAAATGTAACGATAGCGATGATTTATCAGATGCAGATATCAGAGCGACGGACGAGCCCTTCTGCATACCCGACGAGACAATGTCGAATTCTCTGTTAGCGAGGCTCGATGAGCTCTCGTTCGCGGAGGAGCGGGTTCTGCGCACGATAAAGCTTCAGCGAGGTCACGGCGGCAGCATCGGGCTCCAAGTGACCGAGGGTAACGACAGCGGCGTCTACGTGCAGGCGGTCTCGGTCGGTGGCTCCGCCGATATGGCTGGGAACGTTAATAAAGGTGAGCTTACGTTCGGTCGGTATACCGTTACAATTTATCCCACTGCTATCGATTTGTTGAATTTAACGTTTTCTTCTTTTTTTGCACATTTCAGGCGATAGAATCGTAGCTATAAATGGACAGAGTTTACTTAATCTTAGGTATGAAGACGCGTTGAAGATGCTACAAAGTACCTCCGAAACTGTTGAATTAGTCTTATCGCAAGTAGTATCTTTACCTTGTCCAGCGCTACTGACAGATAGCCCTGACGATGATTTATCGGAGCCAATGAAAAATAGTTATTTACAGTAAGCATTGATTAAACAAACATTTGAAGTCATCATTTAACATTGTTTTATAACTTTGAAGGAATTTGAAATTCGGCGTATCGTCGGAAAGAGAATCTTCGTCGATGACATCTACTAAATGGCTACAAAAGCTCGGAGACGTCGCATCTGTTCAAAACACGTCAAGTGCTTACAGTAGCGCAGCATCTAGTGCAATGGGAAATCACAATGTAAATAGTCTTTATGTACCGGACATCGATGACACGGAAGGGATCCACTCCGTTAGTAGGCTTTTAACTTTGGAGGACTTGGACATTAGTCACGTCAACAATCAGCAAGTTTTTATTTAATATGTAAGTGGATTATTGCATCTCAACCTCCTCTCGTTAATGCTTGAACGATTAATTGGTTCGGAAAGATAGTCCTCGACTTATAAAATAGATTATTAGGTTGTTGAAACAATTAAGTCTATAGATAAAAAATAGTGTGAGGGCAGAGACCGCCAACTCTTATAATTACTAATCAAATTATAGTCATCCATTTAAAGAAGCCTTTGTCTATTGCAGATAAATGCTTCGTTGATTTTCAAATCCAAGGCATTTTTTAATTCATTAATGTAGGATTATTTATAAATGACGCATCTTATAATATTTTAAAATATTAACACTCGTTTATTTTTTTATGTAATCTAAACAAAAAATTAATTACAATTAATTTACCGAAAAATTCTTATAAATATGATCCACAGTTATTTGAAAATGATAAAGTCGACCTTTTTTTGATTGGCAAAAATATCTAAAATTTTCTTTGGATTCGTTGCATACACTTGCAATATCTTGCGACGCAGCAATTATACATGATCTTAACATTCGACCTCCACTTCTGAATTTTCAATCTTTACTATTGACCGTTAGAAAACGTGCGAGTGGCGTGGGAGGTCGAATGTCACTTATACGGCATCGGCTTTAGAGTGTTGCAAACAGTTGACTCTCGCGCAAGCTCTCATTTACACTATTTTCCTCCGCGCTTACAAAAGAAATTCAAAATCATACTGTTTCGCGTAATAATACTGAAAAAACGTCGAGTGTTTCTAGTTAAATTTCTTAAAAAATTATTGTAAAACAATATGTGCACATAATTAAAATAATCAAAGTTACAAAAATGGAATTTTGTCACGCAGACGCAGTATTACCAACGCCGCCAGTACCACCTCGTCGTAAAAAAAATAAAGCTCGACCAAAGGAACCAATTTCGCTTCCAATAAAATCACAATTTTCGAGTTCTGGGTCAAAACGCCGACCAGCTCCTGCACTTCCTCCAGCTGCCTCGCAAAAAATAGGAAGAACAACGACGTCGTTTCATCCAAACGAAGGTCATTCATCTAGCACTGGTTCAAGTAGTCTACAGTACGCACCCGAAAGCTTGGATTCGACAGGAAGTAATAGTTTGATAAGTTGTCCAGTAAAAGTAGCACCTAGTAAACCACAACGTAGTCCAAGAAATAAACATGCAGAAAATTCGATTCGAAATGATGTGCAAATCAGCCGAGTTAATTCGCCATTTATCTCGTCTCGAGAACCGAGTCCTTACCCGCCGCTATTATTTACGTTAGAAGATTATGAATCTGTTATGGAGAAATCTTTAACAGCTCAAGAGAGTCTTATAGAAAAGAACGTTAACAACCACAAGTCTTTGGAAATTAAGTCTGATTTGAAGGAAACAGAGGTAGTAGAAGAAATCTCCCTTCCAACAGAGAGCACAAGTTTACCGAATATGCAATTCAGTAGTGAAAGGGAGGAATTTTATTTTTGCATAACAACGACCGATAAGCCGTTTCAAAAAAATCTCGGTAGTTGGGGATTATCGCTCGATGACGATACCATAGATAAATCGGAAGAAGAACAACATTCAGGTGCTCATATATTTGAAGATTACATCGATCGTAGCAACCGAATGAATGCCAGACCAGACTTATTTTCTAAAGATTTCACTTCCCTTGAAGATGTTTCGACTGAGAGGACGGCAACGAGAGTTCGATTTGTCGTAGAATCTCCGAGTACATCTACTCCCGATGCTGATCTTATGGACGACGGAATAACATACAAAGATTTCTTTGAAAAAAAATTTGCCGAAGCTGAACGTTCGACGGTCAAATTGACTGAAGTAACAGATGATGACGTAAGTGATTTGGAAAATGACTCTTGCGATGATAAAAATTTTAATGAAAATTCAGAAGTGTTGGCAGATAATAAAATCGAGCCTAAAATACAATTTCAACTTGGTCCAAAAGTCGAAAAATCTCGTTATGGTGAGTTATACGTTGATGCAGAAAAAGATAGTGAACAAGATATTAGCGGTACAGTGGATGTAAGGGATGAAGTTGACAATATACTAAAATTATCATTGGAAACTGATGATGCGCCCGAAGAACAAATTAAGCCGAATAAAAAAGTGGAAGAAAATAAAAGTTGCATAGATTGTGTTAATAAAAGTGAAAATAAAATATATATTCATCCATCGCTTTACCATTTATTAAACGATGATGAAGATTGGGAACAATATATCGATGATACAGTAGATGATGTAAAATCAGATAATGAATGCGACATTAAAGAAATTATTGATGATCTCAAATGTAACGAGACAAGCAGTGATATTAAAAATGAGCAAACTAATTCATCAGAAAATCCAGAAAATTCCGAGATACAATCAGTTTTGAAAGAAGAACAAGGGTTGTCAGAAAGTATACGTCGGAATGTATTTCTAAATACTATGTTGGACGATCATAATTTTGAAAAAAACTCGTTGACGGAGAAAAGTGCAAACTGTGAAGTGATAGCCACTCACCCTAAACCGGCACCAACTCCTTTTACGACGGACGAGCAAAACTCTGAACAGTTGTCTGATGCAATTTTAGTCACAGATGAAGCAGTGCCAAGTAACAACAGCAAGAAGATTACATTAAAAGAAACTGGCGCGCCGCCAAATTCCCAGAACAAAATGGAAACGTTACCAAGCGGTAATAAATCAGTTGGAGAAGCTAGAAGCGACATGCTGAACGAGCTCTTGACGAACTTCGAATCGATTAAACTGAAATCGGTCAAAAATCTAGTCGATAATCTACCGATTAGTTCGGAAGAGACGCAAAAAGACACACCTCCGATAAATTCAGTGACACAAAAGACTGATGTAGCCCCCGACGCAACGGAAATCTTTGTTCAGAAAACTACTACTAGCTTACGTTCTCGATCGAAGAAACCTGCAGTAGCGACTGAGAGCAGAGGTACCGATCCGATACCGGACGTACCGAGTGCCATAATCGATGAAACTCTCAATTCTCAGCGTAGTGATAACGACAATAAGGCCATGGCAACCGTAGACTGCAATGACCAATCCAGCGAGTCTATATCCATAGCTCCCGGTAGTGTAAAAAATTTCGTTATGTATTACGAGATTCATAGCGAGCTGAGCACTGTATATAAAATGGAAGAAAGCGCCTTTAGTAGGCGCAAGCACGAGCTCGCCAAAGAATACAAAAAGCTGCAGCAAGGCAGCGATAAAAAATCCATCAAATCTGGTGAAAAGGTTAAAAGCAAATTGCCCAATTTGCAATTGCTACCCGATAAAAAGAAGAAAAATGACAAAGCAGTGGAGAATACGAAAAGCAAAAGTAAGGTTGTGGATCACGTCCCGACGCCTTGTTTGAAAAACGTCGTTGCCAACCAACCCAAGTCGGAGAGGAAAAAGAGCGTGCAATTCGACGGCGAATGCAAAGTTATCACTCCGAGAAAAAAAGACAAGAAGAAAGACGAAGAAGAGGGTACTTTTTCGACGTTTATCGGTGGGATTAGGACGAGACTGAAAAGAAATGCCCCGGCTAAACCGGAAGCTAAAAAAGCTGAATGTTCGAAAGGATTGAAGTTAGACCCGTGCCCGGCTGAGGCTGCAGCCATTATTTGTATTCAGGTTGGTTTCATTATGTTTTTCATAATTAATTTTATTTATTCTATTTACATATATTTTTATTTGTGATACTTTAAAAGCTTTATGTTAATATATGTTTTTTATTTTTTTACTTACAGAAGTCTCCAGAAGCGCATGCATTAAAATATCCATCGATATCAGGTAACAGAAGCTTTCTACCGCCCAATAAGACCTTGCCAGACAACCAAACCATTGTGTTTTACTGCACTGTATAAAAAAGTAGATTTTATATGAGGAAAAACTTCCTAAAAATTCCTACACATAAACTACTAACGTAGAAAATCGGATAGTAGCTAATCGAATGCAAATAAAGCTTTTATATTAATTTATTATTTGTATTTTATATTAATACGGATGTGCATGTACTGCTGAGATGTTATTATAAACATTATGATGTACGTAAGTGTAAGTTAGACAGCGCTACAAATAGGCAAAAAGTTATATATGAAGCGACTTTTTTTTAAACTCCGAAACTTATGCGTACCATTGTGGAAGATAAAGTTCTTGATTCCTCGTGATATGTCTCGTAATATAATGAAAATATTTTAATTGTTTGTAAATAATAATAAACTATTATTTATGTAAGTGTAATTATATAGAATCTAAAAAATGTAGCTGCTGGCAGATAGAATAGGTTTTATCAATCGAAATATTTAACGATAAATATATTTAATTACAGATCATAACTAATCTGTTTTAAAAGTAAACCGATATTATAAGAAAGTTCATTCGTGCAATTTAAATGAGAAAATAAACTAATAGAATGTTACGTATTTATTTCTACTATTACGTGCCTCTTTATAAGTATTATTACTCATTATTGTTTGTTATATTAGTTCAATCTAGCGCTAGTGTTCGGGTCTAAAAATTATTAAGAAATGATATTCTCCGAATTTTGTATAGTTATGATCAAAATTTCATGTGTTTTATGAAAATGTTATAAAAGGACGTTAGCACTGAAAATAGCTTTGCTCGATATAAGTAATTAGCGAAATTGTCTGAAGATGGTTCTGATAATATAAATATATTTTTGTTTTAATGAGTACGTATAAACCATTTGAATATATGATTGAATTTATGAGATGAAAATGCAAAACTGTACACGCATTCATTACACTAATCATACGCGCAAGCTTGCTTCGTATGAATTTGTCAACTCAATAAGTACGTCTGTTTGACAAAATGTTTTCGAGAAAATTGCATTTATATTATGAAACGAGGAACGGTACATGAGAAGACCTTTGATCGAAATTTTTTATAACTCGATGATGATTATAGAACTTATATACTTACAATAAAAAACAATTCGTACATTAGTCAAGCACATTTAATTGAAGCGAATTTTGTATAAACTATATGCAATAATTATTCTAAATGCATAAGCGACTCTGGAATTGATGAACGAATTCTGAAAAGTCATGATCGTAGTTGAATTATCTTTAAAAATAATACTTGCGAGCATTTAGAGTTGTGAGTATGAAGCAAAAATTTAATGTTTAATTGGAATGTTATAACTTTCTCTCATGAATCATATCGCTTATTCATTATATCACAGCATAATTGAATAAAAAATTATTAATTTCACGATGAAAAACGTCTGTTACTCTATTTAACCTTATTATCCCGAAAAGTAATATTCACTTTTAATTTGAAAAGATTTTAACAAAATGACAAATTCAATAGTAATGTGTGCCCCAATTCATAGTAAGTAAAATTTTTCAACATTTATAAACTCTTCAAAATGTTTAATTAAAAAACGCTTACTTTATGTTATTTAAACATTACACAGAAAAAAGGGTATCCGTGACTTTTGACCTAAAGTCTTGAACTTTTCAACTAAAAGGTACTTTCAAAAAACTTGTCATTGCTATTTACCTACTTATTTCATGTAATGGTTTAAAGTGAAAAAATAATTGGCTTACTTTGAAGCAAAAATAAGCGTAGTAAATGTTATAGCAAATTCAACATGAAAATTTAATAGTTGCAATATCTAAGTACTAATTGTTTTTCGTTTGAAATAATTATCATTATTAAAACACATAAAATTTTCATATTTAATAACCAACATTGTATTATGGAAAATACAATAATAATTCAATCATTATGCTGTTACTTAATATACATAATTTATTTACATAAGAAATGCCTCCTCGTAATCAATTAAATTTCTGTATAGTTGAAGTTAATGTCACTCTTGAACCCAGTTTTGTTTACTATGGAGTTCGCAACGAACCTCCAAACCTTTTAATTTATTTTCTGCCGTGTCTTGAAATAATTTTTAATTATACCAGAAAATTTTAAATGTTATTTTTAAAAAAAAGTTTAAAAATTAAAAATACCGGCCTCATGATTTTTTGTTTCAAAACAAATTTTCACGGACTTTTCCGCAAAATTATGTAAAGCTAAAATTAAGAAACGCGCGTAACTGCGGCAACGCAGCTGGAGAAATAGGCACAACCAAGGTCGTTGAATGCACTTGCTGCTCGAGTGAGTTTAAGGACGTTGAAAAAAACAATCTTTTTTTTTGTATAAAATTAAATATAAAACTGAAATGCTCGTGTTTTTTTACGATCTTTTGTCACATGCTCAAATAATCAATCGGAAACTGTAAGCTTTGTTGCTCTCGTTGGCCATCGCCTCGTCGCGAACTCGGTAAAAGTTTTTGTCCCCTGCCACTTTTCTGGAGCGCGTTCGGGACACACGGCTGTGCGCGCACGCACGCAGTAACGCGTATGATTAATTCAGCGACAGCAACAAACGGAATAAAAATGAAATAATATTTCATTCGCTTTTAAACATCCATGAGAATTTCATTTTCGGCATTTTCATGCGAAGGAGCGCGATATCGCACGCAGCCAGAACACGCGCATAGCGGAGAAAATCTGCGCCGGGTCAAAAAAGCGCGCAGCGCACGTTGGCTTTTATAAACGAAATCCCTGACACATCTCTTTTCGCTTTTTATTTAGCCGAGTCGCGAGAGTACGTGTCTGCATTAGTTTAGCATACAAACACACATACAGAGACGCGTGCACGTGTCGAAATTCTTCGGTCCGCGCTTTAGGTATATGTATGTATATGCGCTAGCGGCGCTCGAACGGAATATTGCCGCGGAGCGGCGAATTTATTTTGAGCTTGTGTAGTTGTATACGTATGTATGACGTCACACGACGACGACTACTGCTACTACTACCGCTAAACCACTCGAATTGCTGCTGCTGCTGGTCGTCGCATCGACGATGTTGCTGATTCTTGTGCTGGTGCATCGTCGCCAGTCGCTTCTCTCGCGTTTTGACTAAGCACGCGAATTTCTGCACCGCTGCCCGATTGACAGTGCAAGTATCGATGTATATAATACACATGTTTTATGTATAATGCATCGATGTATATGCTATAGTGGCTGCCGCGAATCGGATCGCGAGTGATCGAGTGCCTCGAGAGAGGGAGAGAGAGTGGCCGAAGTACCCGTCGATAAGCTTCTAATTCGGCTTCGAGTTCAATCGATATTATTAGACACTTGTGAAAATCACTTTTCTGGATGCTGCATCGAAGATAGAGAGCGCCTACATTACCTCGGAGAGAAGTTGAAGAAGTTTCGAAAAAAGCACTCGCAGCTCGCGCGTGTTTTCAACTAGATCGCACACTTGCTGATGCAGTATTGAATTTTCTCTGCTCTTGTAGGTCAAAATACTTATTACGAAATTTAAACTTTTTTGCTTTTCTTTTTTTTACGAAACGAGCGTAATCAAACGAAGCGTACGAGTTTGTAAAATTTTTCCTCAAAGATCGAATGTCGTGCAACGCATACGAATCGATCTCGTCGTCGAGCGGTGGACGATGTAAAAATAAATAACACACAACACATGACACACGCCGCATAGAATCGCAACATAATAAAGCCCGAGAAATTTCGTCACCGCATTGAGAGAAAATTGAATTGGTAAACATAACAGCAAAAATATTCGTTAAAGCGAGCGAGAGGACGGACGGACGCTCTACGGTCGGTCGGTCGACTCGCGCGCGCGCGTTGATACTTTGCCAAGTTCAACTCTTTGGGCTGCAATGCCAGAGCTTTGCTCTCCTCTAAGCAAAGCTACACGCATAACTTGTATACGAGAACTTTTCAGCCTGAATTCTCAGCACAGTCGTCATGAATTTCGTTACAGTTCAAACAACAAGGGCGGTAAAGACGACTTTTTTTGAAACTTTTGCGATGAATATTGCTGCTGCTGCTGCACGTCGCACTGTCGAATTCGATTACAAGTCACAAATAACGGCCTCTCCTTTGCACACGGAGTCTGACAAACACTAGAAGAGTACAGTGCAAAAGGTAGAAAGAGACAACTAGCGAGAGAGAGAGAGAGAGCAGAGGCAAAGATTTTAATTGCATCCGCGCCTTTTCGCTAATGCATCTCGCTTCGGGGAACTCGACTGCTCGCGAAAGATTAAAGGCCTCCGAGAGCTAGCATCATACATATAAAAGCCATGCCTCAACTGCAGTGCCCTTTGATCGTGACTGCGACTCGACGGTGCGTCGATACCGATTCGCCGCTCGACTCGACGCTGACCGCCGACGAGCCGGTCATTCGGCTGAAACTCGACAAGCCCCCGCACTGGGATTGGCAGCTCACAACGACCTCCGACGATTTGCCGGTAATTCAACTGCTCGACCGCGAGGGCAAACTCCTCGTCGAGACCACTGGACGCTGCGCCCAACGCGCCAGAGGTTCCTTCCGAGACGGCCTCAAGTCTCACGAGTCCTTTCCCCAGCCCACAGCGACAGCAGCAGCTGCTGCGTCTGTTATCGTCAAGGACGAAAGCCCGAAAGTGGTCGTACCCAAGAGTTTTCAAGGCAATCGTAATTACGAAGGCTTCAGCACCAAGTATGGCTCGGCTCTTTGTGGATTTCCGACGCGTAAATCGCACAGCGACGCGAACGTGTCGTCGTCCTCGTCCTCGGCCTGCGCCGCTACGAGACGCAAAAAAATTCGTAAACACCATTCGTCCAATACGTCGGACTTTGACATCCGCCGATCCAACAGCAACAGCTCGACGACGAAAAAAGAAGTAGCCAAGAGGTACTCGAGCGTTAACGGCTCGCGTCAGCAGATTTTCGAGGATTCGCCACTGGAGCAGGTCAAAGATAAAGTGGAGGGGCCGCTGTTGGGCCGATGGGCGGCTCAACCGACCCGTCCTAATGACGATTATACCGGGCAAAGAGTTGATTTTCATTTCGATGGCAGTATCAATAACGCCAGAGACAATGTAATTGGGCCATCGATTAGCAGCGACGAAAATGCCAAGAGAGACGAACTCGAAATAATCAAGAGGTTCTTGTGTAAGAAAATGTCAGCAGATATGGAGTACGACAGGCAGTATCGTAGAAACTTATCCACTCCAACTCAGACGAGCGATTTGGCGGGTATAGATGAAGTGGACGCACCAGTAACAAAGCCTGACGAAATTTACATGGGCAGTGCGCAAAGCAGTCACGAGACAGGTGCTAGAAAAAATTATAAAACGAGAAAAATTCGCAGTGAAACCAACATTGGATATCATCGCGAATTACCTGAAATTCAAGAGTTCAAAGTTTTGAGTCCCTCGGAGAAATTGATTAAAAAATACTCTGCGAATGGAAAAAAACGTAAATGTTATCGAAAAACAAGGAGCGACGTGATGGTAAACAAACATCAGTCTAGATCTGCGAGCTCTGAAAGAGATACTCCGACGAATAAAAATTATCCAACGCGTCGGATTAAGAGTCAAGATAATTTCGACAGATCGTGGCGCGATTATAAGGAGAATCATAAGCAGCTCCGCAGAGACGTCGATCAAGTGGAAATGGCCGAAGAGGATTTTACGACGAAGCCGCGCTGGAAGGACCGATGCGAGGGTAGAAAATGTAAAATTTGTGAAAACCTAAAAAGCAACATCGATCCGCTGAAAAATCCTGAGGTCCTCGACGTTCAACGAGTTAATGAGTCTTGGCTGGAAGAGCTCAAAAGCCCTTCCGCCAGTGACAGCTCCAAGTCAAGTGCCAGCAGTAGTTCGACGGTGAAAATAAGTGATACGGTTGAAATGGTGAATGGCAGTAGCAGCGTCGACTGCGTCGACGGACCCGCCGGAGTGTTTTACGATTACGAAAACAAAACGAACGAAGATATTACAAAGGATTACTTCAGGCGTGTTTACGAACTTTTACGTCGGCGAAAAGAGGAGGCGAAAACGCTCGCCGAGTGCGAAGAAGACACTTGCTCGTCGAATAATTTTGAAGAAGACGCTCGAGTGAAGAAGCGGAGGAGAAGAAAAAAAGCAGCGGATAAATCGATGGAAGGTAATTTTCATTGCGAAACTTGCAAAAATACTTTGTTAATGCTTATATCATTATATACATGTATCTTGAAACTATATTAGTAAGGGATAAATCAAAAGTCTTATGCATAGCTCGCGTAGTTACATTTTTAATTGGCTTTTAAACAAAATTTAGCGAGCTTTTTTGCGAAAGCTCTACGTACACGAGAGTAACTTTGGCAATAATTCCTCCAACAAAGTATCTGTCTGTACAAGTCAAATCCAAGATGAATGAAAGAGCGCGTCGAGGAAGCCGAGTGGCTCTGAGCTCGTATACGGCGTATATATAGTTGTTCGCTTGTATCCAACTCCGACATGCTCGATAAAGCAACGTCTAGTTGATCATGCCAGAGGCGCATTCGCGATTCACGTGATTTATACTGACCCCTACTACTACCACTACCACTACCACTACCGCTACTACTACCGTCGTTTTCTCGGTGCGCAGCACACCAAAAATTGCGATATATAAAAAAAATCCCCGAACTTGCCGAAACTGCTGTCTTCCGCCGATCGACGCGGAAATTTCTCCCGGAGCTTAACAGCGCGGCGCGCGCGCGTTATCCGTGCGCAGCTATAGCAGCTCGGCTCGCTCGACTAAACAATCTCCAGCGAGTAAATACAAGGAACGACCAAAAAACGACGACGAAAAAGCCCGGGGAGGTAAAAAGTCGGAAAATAACGAGATTCGAGCCGGGCTTGACAGCAGAGCGAGACGCGCACAGAGAAAGGTGCAGCGCGTACGCACGCGTGCACATAAATCTATGTACAAAAGCATATTGAAGCTAGCGCGGGGGGATAGGTGCTGCAGTGCAGTGCAGCAGCAGGTTCTCTCGCTCAAAGTTAAGCTTTCGGCGCGCTGTTGCCTCGATCTGTACTTGTGAGTGCGCGCGCGGCACAAGTGAGTTTGTAGATACTTGCTTGCCTGCGTGTGTATTTGAGCGGGCTCGCGGCCAAAGAGATTAGTGTCACACCGTCAAATCCATGTGCACTGTAGCAATCCTCTTTCACTCTCTTTGTGTGTGTATGTGTGTATGTACGCACGATTGCTAGCTGCACTGCCCGGCGCGCGCACTGCACACACACTACACTACGTGTTGGCACACAAGCTAGTATATATCCTGATGGAAAAGACATACTCTGTCATCGTATCAGATTTGTTTGGATCGTTCGAGAAAGTGCTTGGCCTCGTATATAGTTTAGTACATTGTGTATAGACTGACGCGCGCCGAGTGTATGTAGTGTGCAGACGGCAACGAAAATCGAGCGTAAGCTTGGAACGGTCGAAAGACGTTATCGCTTATTGTCATCGCCAACACGATCTTGAGTTGACAATTGTCAGTAATGCGCCTTGACCATGCTATTCAAAGATCGACTTGAAGCTTCGTCGTTTTCCCAAATAAGAACTGACTCGAGTTTTAAAAAAAGCAAATCGCATTCGCATGGAATAAACTCGACTCCCTCGCCGCTATAGAGAGCAATTTTAACTAAATATTTTACATCGGATACAATAAAATTTATAGCTCAGACTTAATTGCTATAGTTAATCCAATCGATGGGTTATATAAATGGCTTTTATCATTAACGCGATTGTATATCTATACACATATTTTCGGTTGACCACCGATCCCACAAGTGAGGTTGTACGTTCCCGAAACGAAACCAAAAGTGCAAAATAGTTTCACGCATTGAACTCTAAAGCCTTAGCATGGTTCAAACGTTCACACCTATACGTATATACGTAGGAGCGTGATGAATAATTCAAATCCTTCATTAACTGCACTTATCCCCATTAAAGATTTAATCGATGAAATCTCCATTAGATTTAAAAATAAGTTTCGATTGAAGTTGCTGCAATTAATACTGCGATAATAAAAAATTCAGAGAACACTTACTTTGTACTAAAATCTTTCGATTAAATTTCAAGTAAAATATCTTGTTAGTAACATGCTCTTTTATTTTTAAAAATCGATTACTTCATCCAAGAAAAAAGATAAACGAATTCTTGTTCTGGAATTTCAAAGCATTATTTGCTAAAAAAACATAACTGGTGAAAGTCAAGAGCTCCGTGTTGTCAAGTATATTTTTAAAAATGTTCATCCCTGGTAGAAATGATCAACATTTCATGGTTAACTTTTGGTTAATGAAAAGTTGCTTAGAAATAAAAGGATCGTTAAAACAGAACAGAATATTTTAACCAAAATCATAACGTTTTTTTCAACATTTCATAATCAGAAAATGTTTCATGTTTTTTTTTTCTATGAATATTTTTTTACTGCATGAGATTAGTACAAAACATCATTTGAACACACTTTTGCTATCATTTTTATAAATAAAATGTTTAAATATTATATGCATAAATCGCGCTTTGACTTATGCCATTATTTTGACTTTGCCATTTGCAGATTTATAGATAAACGTGCTTGCCATCTAGTGGTGTAAAACTGGTTAGAATTTTTTGGAAATAATGAATCATTTTTTCGGCTTTATGCTATTATTAATGTTAAGCATTTCTACCCAGGTAAAATTACTTAAAATAACAACAACAAAAAGTCAAAATTCAATCATATAATTAAATCTATTAACATGTCAGAAAACAAATTCACACTCATTGCACAGGAGATATATTAAGAGACCTTTTTTAAAGGAAACAATTCAATAAGCGTAAAAAGACAAAAACATTTGAGTTAATTTTTTTTAAATATCCTCGAGGTTTATTTTAACCAGGCTGTCTCGCGTTGCCTTGTTTAAATACAAGTGTCTGCTTTTGAAGCATGTGCTCTGCGACGAAAACAAAAGTTGGCAAACTTATGCCCAAAGCGTGGCAGTAGTATCACTTTCATAAAGGTCCAGTCTGTGCGCGCACACAGGGTCATTTAGTTCAAAAGACCAGAGCTAACTATACCTTGAGGAATTTGACATTCGCTCGCGGGTAATTCAAAGCATTCAAAGAGACGCGCGCGTATACAGTTTATCTGTAATGAGAAAAGTCCGCTTTGAACTTTAACGCGCGTTCAAAGTCCATATTATATATCTATCTTTCATGATTAGACCGGGAAAATTAGCTTGTACGAAGAAAAAAAAGGAGTAAAATGTTTTGATTTAAAAGATGAAATTTGTACGAGCGAGAGTAGGTGATTGGAAAGGATAAACATGGGTTTATGCATTTGTTTGCTATATAGAACAGAGGAAACAGTGGGATTACAACGTTGCAGGAAGATTGTATCGATCGGCAAGAGTACAATGTCGGAAGGTTCTAGAGGTTTAAAAACAAAATTTTCGGAAAACAGCGAACTACATATTAAAAATTCAGTATCTTCCAACATTAAAATCTTATTTTCAGAACACGAACACGAGGCGTAAAAAAGCATAAATTTGAGCATAAAGTAATTCATCGTCGTCTTTTAAACTTTTCAAAAGCCAAGTATATATCATAAACAATTCTCTTCACGGGCAATTACTCGGGCAAATTTAGAGCTCTGACCGTCATTATTCGAGAGAGAAGTTGAGAAAAAAGCCGGAAGCAGTTTTGAAAGTTTCGATGTATAAGGTCACGATTTAACGAGTCGAGCCCTGTAATTACTAAGCAGGTCGGATCGGTGGCTGGCTGCTCTCTCGGTTGTAGCTTAATACGCGTTAACGATGACTATCCGACAGCGGATAAATCGATGGTCATTAGGGCGAGCAGTAGCAGCAGCGGCGTATAGCATTAGAGCTGGGATGCGCGTAGCAGCAGCAGCAGCAGTAGTCGACGGGCGAGCATACACAATTTAAATATGTAACGACAAAAACACATAAACCCGGGACAAAATCATAAACGCGCGTCGCACGCGGCTGTGCACAGTATGTGCACGCATGAGTGCGGATTGTAATACCTGGGCTGCACGTATAGGCCCCTGTCGTTGACCCATTGGGTTTTGTGCATGGCAGCGTGTTATAAGTCGAAGCGCGCATATAATATATAGGGTGCAGGCAAAAGCCGGTAATAAAAAGCTACTCGTTGTCGTCAACGCCGTGGTGTGTATAGCTGCAGCAGAACAAGCGCCAGTGCAGCAGCAGCTCGTGTCGGTGTAAAAATCAACGAAGGTAAAAAAAAAATTTAGCGAGCAGGTCACGGAGATATAGAATAATATATATATATATATATATACGTATATAGCGCTGTGCAGGCGCGTAAAACGGTGAAAGTCGGGTAGCTGCGGATAAGGCTATGCGTGTGCTCGCGCGAGGTGAAGCGACGAGAGCGAGAGCGAGAGAGAGAGAGAGTATAACGGGGAGGTGGCGGAGGGTGAAGGAGGTAGAATAGACGTCAGAGGGCTATATAACTCGAATGACTATCGAGGGGGTAGTAGGACGAGGGGTGAAAGAACGTTGAGTCGGTCGCGCACGCCGCAGGCATGCATATACGAGCTGTACACCCACACACACACTTTCCTGCTCGCACAATATGAAGTAGTTGCACAGTAGTGCACAAAATACGTGTGTGTGTGTGTGTGTATATACGCAGCCCGGAGTCTCGCGCGCGAGGATACTTCTGCACGCGTATACCCACATGGAGATATAGAGAGCTATAGCTAGCACAGTGCGCGACGAGCTGCGCGCGCTTTTGAAACTGCTGCTGCTGCTGCTGCTGCTACCTTCCTACGTCAGAAGTACGGTATACGCGCTGGTATACGGAGCACCAGGCTGACGTCGGAGCAGCAGTTGAACGCGAGCCGTGCATTACTCGACACGCGCGCGCAACTACGGCAGACCACACGCAACCCTCGGCGCGCACCTGTTTTCCAACGACATACATACATACATACATACGTGTGTGGATACTTGCCTGCATTTGCGAGCTTTCGCAGGCCGTACAGTAGTGGTACATGCACGCGACCGCGTGCTCCTCTCGCACTTGCTGCATTTCGCGCCTTTTATCGCTTCTCTGCAGTGTGAAAAAGTTGATGCATCTACATTTTCAAGCGCGTTGATACGAGCGAG